TGATGGTGTTCTTGGGGTCATAGGCAGCATTCCTCCTCCTCCAAACACGGCGAGTTGAGTTGATGCCAAAGAGCTCGATTTTGGTCTCATCTGACCACAGCACTTTCACCCAGTTCTCCTCTTAATCATTCAGATGTTCATTGGCAAACTTCAGACGGCCCTGTATATGTGCTTTCTTGAGCAGGGGGACCTTGCGGGCGCTGCAGGAGTTCAGTCCTTCACGGCGTAGTGTGTTACCAATTGTTTTCTTGGTGACTATGGTCCCAGCTGCCTTGAGATCATTTCCAAGATCCTCCCGTGTAGTTCTGGGCTGATTTCTCACCGTTCTCATGATCATTGCAACTCCACGAGGTAAGATCTTGCATGGAGCCCCAGGCCGAGGGAGATTGACAGTTATTTTGTGTTTCTTCCATTTGCGAATAATCGCAGCAACTGTTGTCACCTTCTCACCAAGCTGCTTGGCGATGTTCTTGTAGCCCATTCCAGCCTTGTGTAGGTCTACAATCTTGTCCCTGACATCCTTGGAGAGCTCTTTGGTCTTGGCCATGGTGGAGAGTTTGGAATCTGATTGATTGATTGCTTCTGTGAACAGGTGTCTTTTATACAGGTAACAAGCTGAGATTAGGAGCACTCCCTTTAAGAGTGTGCTCCTAATCTTAGCTCGTTACCTGTATAAAAGTCACCTGGGAGCCAGAAATCTTTCTGATTGAGAGGAGGTCAAATACTTATTTCCCTCATTAAAATGCAAATCAATTTATAGAATTTTTGACATGCGTTTTTCTGGATTTTTTTGTAGTTATTCTGTCTCTCACTGTTCAAATAAACCTACCATTACAATGATAGACTGATCATTTCTTTGTCAGTGGGCAAACGTACAAAATCAGCAGGGGATCAAATACTTTTTTCCCTCACTGTAGATATGAAAAAAGCACCCAGTCTAATAGCTTAGTGCAGGACTCGTCCAGGCAGAGGGTACATTCGAAATGGCCCTCTATTCTCTATAGTACTCTCCTTTTGGCCACAGCCCTTGGTTAAAAGTAGTGCACCATCTAGAGAATCGGGTGCCATTTCAGAGTGCATCCTGAGTGTATGGCCCAGGGAATGCAGTGAATGATCCATTAACACCAGAGCTTTAATGGATATGTGCTGTTAGCATTCAGGCCCATAGCCAGAGAGCCTGTCAAGGAGCATCAGTGTGCCAAGTGAAAATTGTTACGGAAAACAGCCATGTTTACATACTGGGGATGAAAAGAACATAATTTTGGCTGTAATGATCGACCAAATTAGAAGCATTAGCGCATCACACCGTTGATATAGCAACGGACGCTAACAGCTTGAATCCCATTGTGGTGGACATATTTTGGCAAGTGGACACTATTTGGCATGACAGGCCCATGGAATGTTTTTATGGTTTCACATATCTGTCCACAACGCCTCAGACGACCTGTCTTCTCGACACGCTAACCTCAGAGGAGTGTCTGGGAGATGAGAATGACTGAGCGCTCCTCTTATATCTTACTACACATGCCTCTGCTTCCTCACCACAATGCACACACACAGTCACACACACACATGCACTGAGCTTTTCCTTCATTAGCTTCACCTGTGTGTGCAGGACACTGCTGCTATACAGACCTGTGTTTCAAGTTTTAGTGTCACGTGAACAAGTACAGTGAAATGCCTTTCTTGCAAGCTTTGAAACCAACAATGCATTAATCAATATCAATGTAGTACTAAAAATAACAAAAGGTAGAACAAAAACACACGAGAAAAAGAAATAAGAACACGATAAAGTAAGTGAGCATACTATATACAGGGTCAGTTGCAGTACCATATTTACAATGCAAGGATACTGGAGTGATAGAGGTTGATATGTGTAGGGGTAAGGTGACTAGGCATCAGGATATAGGATAAACAGAGTAGCAGCAGCGTATATGATGATTGTGAGTGTGTGTAGAGTCAGTATAAATGTGTGCGCATGTTATGTGTATGTGAGCAAATTGTGTGTGGGCGTGTCAGTGTGCGTGAGTTTGTAGTGTCGTGTGAGTGTGCAAATACAAGGGTCAACTCAGATAGTCTGTGTATCCATTTTAGAAGCTATTTAGCAGTCTTATGGCTTGGGGATAGAAGCTGTTCAGGAGCCTGTTGGTGTCAGACTTGATGCACTGTACCGCTTGCTGTGCGAAAGCAGAGAGAACAGTCTATGGCTTGGGTGGCTGGAATCTTTAACGATTTTCCGGGCCTTCCTTTCACACCGCCTGATATAGAGGTCCTGGATGGCAGGGAGCTCAGCCCCAGTGATGTACTGGGCTGGCTGCACCCTCTGTAGCGCCATGACATCTAGGGCGGTTGCCATACCAAGCAGTGATGCAGCCATTCAAGATGCGCTCTATGGTGCAACTGTACAACTTTTTGAGGATTTGAGGGCCCATGCCAAACTTGTTCAACCTCCTGATGGGGAAGAGGCGCTGTCGCTCCTTCTTCACGACTGTGCACGTGTGTGGACCTTTTTAAGTCCTTAGTGATTTGGAGACCGAGGAACTTGAAGCCCTGTCGATGTAGGCGGTCTCATCAGAGTCGTGCGTGGCCACGCAGTCGTGGGTGAACAGGGAGTACAGGAGGGGACTAAGCACACACCCCTGTGGGGCCTCCGTGTTGAGGGTCGGCGTGGCGAAGGTGATGTTGCCTACCCTGGGGTCGGCCTGTCAGGAAGTCCAGGATCCAGTTGCAGAGGGAGGTGTTCAGTCCCAGGGTCTTAAGCTTGGTGACGAGCTTGGAGGGGACAATGGTGTTTAACACTGAGCTGTAGTCAATGAACAGCAGTCTCACATAGGTATTCCTCTTATTTAGGTGGGTGAGGGCAGTGTGGAGTGCAATTGAGATTGCGTCGTCTATGGATCTGTTGGGGTGGTATGCAAATTGGAGTGGGTCTTGGGTGTCTAGGATTATGGAGTGTGATGTGTGTCATAACCAGTCTTTCAAAGCACTTCATGATTAGATATGTGAGTGCAAGAGAGCGGTAGTCATTGTGGCATGAGGCCTTAGAGTTCTTGGGAACAGGGATGATGATGGTCAGTTTAAGACGTGGGGATTATAGACTAGGACAAGGAGCGGTTGAAAATTACTGTGAATATGCCTGCCAGCTGTTCTGTGCATGCTCTGAGAACGCGCCCTGAAATGCCCTGCGGCCTGTGTGTGTGTGTGTGTGTGTGTGTTGGGATCTCCAGGGCACCTGGCCAGGCTAAGTATGTTAATCCCAGTGTGCTTACTTATCCAGCAGTGCTGTTCCTGTGCATCATCCTGAACCCCTGAGCCACAACCTTAATGCTGTGTGTTAGTTATTCCCACTGGGCCAGAGGTCACTTCACTACCTAGCCGCCCCTCTGAACACCAAACGCTCCCCCAACGCTTCAGGCTCAACTTCAATGTTCCCCAATGACCCTGATTGACGGGGGAGGGCGACATGGGAAACTGGCCTTGGAGAGATCCCATAGTCTGGGGGCATGCCATCCAGCCAGCTGAGCCTCGCACTGGAGCGGAGCGGCCTGTTTGTAAATAGTCCCATGCCTCAGCCACGCTCTCACTTCCTCCCCCTGGACAGACCCAGGCGGCAGGAAATGTGGACCGTTGGTCTGTGTGCCGGCGTTGGTGTGTGCATGCGTGCATGGCCGGGCCTAGCTTTCAGCACCATTACCTCAACACCACAGGAGCTGGGGCTTCAGGGGCCTGGGCCCTTTGATGTCTGAAGGCTTTAGATAGTTGAAGATGCAATCCTGGATCTTAAGCGCTTACAAATCCGTAACTTATTGTACGAATTTGAATTGCATTTTTTAAAATATACTGTACATATTTTTGCAGGAGGTGACATAGCATACAAAATGGATGACATAGTAAACAATTGTGCACAATTTTCTGGGACCTGTTTTGGCTCGTGAGCACTACTTTCAGAACTACTGGCTGAAATTATACAAAATCTCTGGAGCATCACTTTAAGCTATAAAGGGCCACATTGGCACACAACACTACTGGGAGAGCATATACTCTACCCCACCTGTATGGCCTCAATACAGCACGCTCACCATGGTCGTGTTCATGGGCACGCTACATGTTAAAATGTTTTGCAACTAAAATGAGCGTGTCTTATTGGACAGTTCCAGGTAGTCCATCCCTGTTTGGTTTGTTGTCTTCCATTTGGTGCCTAATGAACACGACCCTGGTCTGAACAGCCTCTGGTATTTTCAGTGTCATTTTAAAACCAATGCATTGATAGGGAACCCAATCTTCAACATACCGTTGAGAACATCAGCAGATGCACTTTTTGAATCTTTATACAGTGCGACAAAGACTATGCAGGGAAAAGTCGTGCCGTAGTTAGTTCGACTAACCTATTGGGGAAAGTAGAGAAGGTCACTGAATGTTACCACAGTAACATTTAGATGACCTGTTTTTCCTGCGCTTCTTGTATAATGTATGGAAAGAAACACTTTGTTTTCAGAGAGATTATAAAGAGAGTTGGGCTTGTGTTGAACTCATCAGTGTCATGACATTTAAAGGGGCAATCTGGGATTCAAGGGGCTACAGGTGAGTGGGAGTGTAACCAGCATAAGCCTTCCAGCTCTCTCTGTAGCCAGCATTGAAATGTTGACTTATGGCATTATAAACCCTCCCTAAGCCCCTTGTGAAATCTGCCCGCTTGTATTCATATCAGGGATAAGGCGTGCCTCTCTGTCATTGGTGAGGGAGGGAGTGAGGGAAGGGAATGTTGACTCTGACTGTCCCATAAAGAGTATGAATGGTGTAGTAGCCGTGTACCGTTGACCACAGCTGTAGACTAGACTAACTTATCGCTTCTTTGGCTGCTTAGTTGAAAGACCGATTCTGACTCCTGCTTGCTTTCTCTCCCTCTTGTCTCTCTTCTATCTCTCTTCCACTTCCTCTCTCTTTCTCTCTATCACCCCCCCCCCCCCCCCCCCCCCCCCCCACTCCTCTTACTCTCTTCCTCTCATCTATCTCTCTCTCGCCTCCTCATCATCCCCTCCTTAGCAGCAGTGGAATGAGCAGACTGAGGCGGGGAGATGCCTTACGTGGATCGGCAGAACCGGATCTGTGGCTTCCTGGACATCGAGGAGAATGAGAACAGCGGCAAGTTCCTCCGACGCTATTTCATCCTGGACACCAGGGAGGGTAGCCTGGTGTGGTACATGGACAACCCACAGGTAGGGCAGCAGGGGAGTACACACACACACACAGAAGCAGACAGATGCAGACACATGCACACAGAACAGACACACACACACACACACCCTGGGAGGTGTAGTTCTTGACTACATACATTTCGCAGTGGATATCATGAGTTGGGCTATGATGCTCTCACTACCCTCAACAGTCATCATTCTATAATGTCTGTGTGCTTAACACATGCATTTAGGCTGATGTCATTACTTGAATGGGCAGCAGCTGAAACGGACTCATGTACTTACTGTATGCACTGTAGTAGGACAGTAGCAGTAGGATGGATTGAATAGCTGCTTGTGTTTGGACTGACCTAATCTCATAAAGTGTTGGACTGGATTGATCTGTCTGGTCTGGCCAGACCACTCTGAGCCATCAAGAAGAAATGTGTGTGTCATCCGCTGGGGAGATGATGTTACGTCTGGGATAACCGAGTCCAGTTACAGGTCTGCCCAGCCGTCCGTTGGTCCATTCGTCCGTCTACCATCTCTTGTGATGTGTGTAGGTCTCATGACCGGCTCATGAGCAACTTAATCTCTGAACTTCTCCTGGCATTTTACGCTCCTGCTATATAAGGTATAGCTGCTTTACAGTTGGCACTGTATGATAGGAGAGTAGTGCTCTATAGCAGGGGTACTATTTGAGAAGGTCCGGTCACACAAATTTCCTTGGTGGCAAAGGTCCGGATGGATAATGTAATTTATCGGTTTAGTAACAAACCCCCACCTCGCAACCCATGCGACCCCAAACTGTTCACACCACTCGTGCTGGCGGAGAGAAAATGTTGCAGTGGTCCTTTGTAGCTCAATTGGTAGAGCATGGCGCTTGTAACGCCAGGGTAGTGGGTTCGATCCCCGGGACCACCCATACGTTAAAAAAAATTATGCACGCATGACTGTAAGTCGCTTTGGATAAAAGCGTCTGCTAAATGGCATATTATTAAAGCTAATTTCCGGCAATTCTACACATTTTGCATGGGGCAGAGATTTATTTTGCTGTTTTAAAGCTAATTTCCTGCAATTATATGCATTCTTCCATGTCTTATGTATGTTTATGTGATACCGAGGTCGAAGCCCGACCGAGTAAAAATATGAATACAAATCTTGTAAACCTGATGTAGATGCTAACCAATCAATCAAACATAGGTGTAAACAGAAAACACTCTCCTGAGAATGCTGCTTTGCAGCCATTTAAATGCACGTCATCTTGTTTGGTTGGGAGTGGGAGCTCAGTGAGGAATAATTGTACAAAGACATACTTGGTCATGCCCCCCAAAAATATATCATTTATTGATGCTGCCCTGGGCTCTGAATTATTTAATTCAGTTTAGTTTCCATCTCCTTCTCCAAGACCTGCTAAAAGTTTAATGCTTCATCACTGTTGAATTTCTTTGATTCTCAGACGGTCTTCAGACTCTGTGTCACTCAAGTTCTATTCTCCTCTGAAACTTCTTTAGCTGTCCCTTTGATTTCCTTTTCTACCACTGTCCTATTTAAGCACTTTGTTACATTGTTTTCAGGTTTGCAATCTCACAATTTCTCTCAATCCTTCTCTCTCTTCTCTCTCTCTGTCTCATGTTTAGAACCTGCCCAAAGGAGCTGAACATGTTGGCTCCCTCAAACTCTCCTATATCTCCAAGGTCAGTCAAGTTGTCCAATTATATCCTGTCTGACAGACACAGACATGGCAAACCACAGTCTTAGGTGTGAACATCCACTGTTTCCCCTAGTTTTTTATTTATTTGGTGGTGGCAACAGTCGTGGGGAGGGGTGGGGGTAGTAATGGCCGTGGTCAGCCCATTGGCGAAGTTGAAATAAGTCCGGATTTGGTGGCAGAGAGAAAAATTTGCAGTTTTTCAGTTCATTTCCTATACTTCTATAAATGTTTCCATGGAGCGGATACATTTTTTTTTAGTTTGAAAGCAAATTGGGGCACCTGGGCATGTGCCCTGCGTGCCCTGTCAGTAATCCAGCCATGACAAAAATACTCCTAAATTCTTATTTATTTTTAATTCTCCTTGACTGTCTAGCTTTTATTTATGGGGTTTTATAGTTCTTAAAGATTATATTATTAAACAATATATAGGTATATATATATTCTACATACTTTCTGTTTAGTCATTTAAGGTTACACTGAAATTGTTTTTCTATCCTGAAAATAAATAACAGCGGTGGTGTGCATTTAGCAGCGATCGGGTGCCGCTGATAAATGCATATAGGGGAAACATTAACATCTGGCCCACTTTCACTCATTGTCTTCCTCTCTCTCTATCACGCTCTCTCCTAGGTGAGTGATGCCACTAAACTGCGACCAAAGGCAGAGTTCTGCTTCGGTAAGTCCTACAACCTCTGAATTTGATACAGTGATCCAAGAACCAAAAGTTTGCGACACTTGATGGTGGTTTATATGTGTATGAGTACTGCATGTTTTGGCTAGTGCAGTGGTAAGTATTGTCTCTTAAGGTTGGCACTGGTTGGTGGCATTGTGCTGTCTGAGGGGGCTGTGAAGGAGGAAGCAGTGGGGGGCACTGGGGAGGGAGCGTTGGCGGGTTGGGGGTAGGCTTGTAGCAAGGAGACCCCTGACCTTCAGCTATTGTTCATCAACGTAGAACGGACAGACAAACTGTAGGGGGCTTTGTCAACTCATCCCCAGGGGATTCAAACGAGAAACCAGGGCCTCTTAACGTGTGCTTTACACGCACACACACACACACAAACACACACACACACAATACTTGGTGTCTTCAGTGTCATTCTCTCAGGGCCCCTTCATACTAATTGGACTAGAATTAGATTGTTCACTAAGGTGGATGAGGTAAGCCCCCCCCCCCCCCTCCCGTCTCGTCTCCATACAGCTCATAGATGGTAGCCAGTAAATGCACTGCTCACCTGTCCCCTCCTTACACAGTCTCCCTTTCCCTACCCTCCTCCCTCCCTACGTTGCGGGGGTTTGGATGGGACAGTTTCCTATATGACTTGCTGTTGTTCAACAGGCCGTTTGTCCCTCAGCGGCCCCAGTCAGGAGTATAGCTCCCCCACACTCAATAGAAGGAAGCGGTAGGATGACCCGCCGGTGACCGCAAAGCGCTGGCTCGACCCAAGCATGTCATTGGATGAGGGGAGTGTCAGGGTTGGGCGGCGGTAGGGGGGTCTCGCGCTTTCCTATTTTTTGCCTAGTTATTTGCATGATCCAGATCCACTTTTGGATTCCTCCCCCAATAGTCCCATCAATCTATTCCGCCACTACACAGCTTCGTGTTGTGACTGCAGTCTCAGGACTAGCTACCTGAATGTCGAGGTTAACCTACCTCAGCCCTGACTGAGTCTAACATATGGCCCTGTGTGTGTGTGTGTGTGTGTGTGCGTGTGCATTTGTGTGTGGGTTGATGTGCTCTGGTGAAGCATTGTGAGGCGCATAGAGAAACTGAGACATTGAGTGGGAAGGTGGAAGACAGATATGAGTGTACAAAACACTAGGAACACATGGTCTTTCCATGACATAGACTGACCAGGTGGTTCCAGGTTAATGCCATGATCCCTTATTGATGTTACTTGATAAATCCACTTCAATTCAAATGGCTGTGATAGGAGAAAACTGAGGATGGATCAACAACATTGTAGTTACTCCACAATACTAACCTAATTGACAAAGTGAAAAGAAGGAAGTCTGTACGGAATAAAAATATTGCAAAACATGCATCCTGTTTGCAATAGCACACTAAAGTAATACTGCAAAAAATTTGGCTAAGAAATTGACTTTTTTGTCCCGAATACAAAGAAATTTGTTTTGGGGAAAATCCAACACAACACATCACTGTGTACCACTCTTCATATTTTCAATCATGGTGGTGGCTGCATCATGTTATGGATATGCTCGTCATCGGCAAGGACTAGGTCATTTTTTTGGATAAAAATAAACGGAATAGAGCTAAGCACAGGCAAAATCCTAGAGGAAAACCTGGTTCAGTCTGCTTTCCAACATATACTGGAAGACAAATTCCCCTTTCAGCAGGACAATAACCTAAAACTCAAGACCAAATATACACTGGAATTGCTTACCAAGACGACATTGAATGTTCCTTAGTGGCCTAGATGCAGTTTTGACTTAAATCGGCTTGAAAATCTATGGCAAGACTTGAAAATGGCTGTCTTGCAATGATCAACAACCAACTTGACAGAGCTTGAAGAGTTTAAAAAAGAATCATGTGCAAATATTGTACAATCCAGGTGTTCAAAGCTCTTAGAGAGCTGCCAAAGGTGATTCTAACATGTATTGACTCAGGGGGTTGAAAACATATCTAATCAAGATATTAGTTTTTTATTTTCCATTAATCTTTTAAAATAATTATAATTTTTCTTCCACTTTGACATTAGAGTATTTTGTGTAGATCGTTGAAGAAAAAAAAATACTATTAAGTCCATTTTAATCCCAATTTGTAACACAACAAAATGTGGAAAAAGTAAAGGGGTGTATCACTTCAGTATCACTGCACATTGTAAATATGGTACTCGAACTGACTGACCCTGTATAATATAGTATCCTTACTTACTTTTTTCTTATGTTATTTTTAGTATTACATTGTTATTGATTACTGCATTGTTCGGTTTAGAGTTTGCAGGAAAGCATTTCACTGTACTTGTGCACGTGACATTAACACTTGAAACTTGAATGCTTTCTGAAGGCATGGGCGAGAGGGCCACATTTCACGTATTTGTCCACTTTGGGGTGGCAAAGTCGAATAATGATTTTCATTAAGGTCCATGTCTATGGGATATATTTTGGTATGATAGCCATTTATCGGAGGTAGCTAAATGTGGAGGTAGCTAAAATCTCTGCATTATGTTATGACCCTTAGTTGGGCCAACAGGATCAGGGTAAGAAATGCAATATTGTATTATCAGGGAACAATCTTCTCAAACTAAGGCAATCTGATATGTTATTAACTTCATAATTCAACTCATATTAAGGTATGAAACAACTGGAATGGTAATGACATCTCTATGGGCCCACCTTGGGGGGTCAAAGGTCATACCAAAGGTCATACATGTATGCATTTTGGGGTATATTGAGCCAGAATGGACACTATTGGGATGTGCTCTATTAACAAATGGTACCCTAGATGATAACTACACCAAATTTCACACAGAAATGGAGACCCATTGGGGAAGTAATTTTTTGCTATATAGAGTCATCAACGATTTTGTCTATAATCAGTCCCAGCAGCCTATTTTCAAGATGGCAGCCATTCATTTCAATGGGAAGGAACTGCATAAATAATTGGTGTAATAAGACCAATAATGGCTTAACATGTGTTACAATGAGGACAACCCAAAATGATGGCCCAAACATGTCAGTTATATGTATTTAGCCAAATATTACCAGAATTGTGGTACAAATATGCCAAAAAAGCTGTCCGAAATAGTTTTGTAGATGTTTCAAATACACTGAGTGTACGAAACATCAAGAAATGTGATGTGAAACCTGCCCTGTGCATTGCACCCTAGATAAAATCCCATAGGAATGCATTATGTACAGGTAACCCATTTTCGCAAAATACCTTCATAATGAGTGCACCAAACTCTACATAAAGCTAGGAAAAGTCTAAACAGTGATGCCTAGCTATTGCTGATTTAACAATAGGGTACACAACTCTGCCTAGGTCAGCATCCCGGAGTCGCCTCTTCACTGTTGATGTTGAGACTGGTGTTTTGCAGGTACTATTTAATGAAGCTGCCAGTTGAGGACCTGTGAGGCGTCTGTTTCTCAACCTAGACACTCTAATGTATTTGTCCTCTTGCTCAGTTGTGCACCGGGGCCTCCCACTCCTCTTTCTATTCTGGTTAGAGCCAGTTTGCGCTGTTCTGTGAAGGGAGAAGTACACAGCGTTGTACAAGATCTTCAGTTTCTTGGCAATTTCTCGCATGGAATAGCCTTCATTTCTCAGAACAAGAATAGACTGACGAGTTTCAGAAGAAAGTTATTTGTTTCTGGCCATTTTGATCCTGTTATCGAACCCACAATTGCTGATGCTCCAGATACTCAACTAGTCTCAAGAAGGCCAGTTTTATTGCTTCTTTAATCAGCACAACAGTTTTCAGCAGTGCTAACATAATTGCAAAAGGGTTTTCTAATGATCAATTAGCCTTTTTAAAATGATAAACTTGGATTAGCAAACACAACGTGCCATTGGAACACAGGACTGATGGTTGCTGATAATGGGCCTCTGTATGCCTATTTAGATATTCCATAAAAAATCAGCCGTTTCCAGCTACAATAGCCATTTACAACATTAACAATGTCTACACTGTATTTCTGATCAATTTGATGTTATTTTAATGGACAAAGAAAATGCTTTTCTTTCGAAAACAAGGACATTTCTAAGTGACCCCAAACTTTTGAACGGTAGTGTATATTATAGTTATGCAGTTAACACAACCAATTTAGCCAGGTTTGCAAAATATATAATCTTTGTAAAATATTAGCAAAATTGTTCCTAAAATGTGCCCAAAACTCTGTTTTTAGTCCGTATTTACATCCCTAATTTCTATATTTTATTTTATTTTCAAGTAATTAGCAATGGATCTATAATATTAATAAAGGGTCTTTCACTGGTTTGTAGTGATTATAATGATATACAATATTATTCCATATTGTTAAATATAAATCTGTCTTCAATCCTGTCATATACACTGCATTCCAACATAACATTCTAGCAAACCGCCTGATGATGAGGCCATCAACTTACATAGCTGGTGAGGTGTTAAAGCCTTAGGTTTATAGCCTTTATAGATGGTGTCTAGTTACACTGTTTATGGAAAATAGTATATTTTATTATAGGGCCACTGAAATATGTATTGATTAGTTGCTGCTGGGGGTTGTCGAGGGCATCAGCAATGGTCCAATTGCTAAAAGGCTGGATTTTTTCTAATCACCAATTGCATAATTTCTATTAAATTTGTTAACCAGCCACTGAACTAATGGCTACAAAATGATTAGGTAACATATTTCATTAAATAACTTGTAAGGTTAGAGAGCATCATTTAAAAATCATGATAGTCAGGGACAGAAGAGATTATAATTGCCAATGTTCCTTTTTAGAGATCATTTATGTTTACCTAAATCTTTGTGTTAACTTGATGGGATAACTCAACAAATGACAGAGCACACCTTTAACATGCTGGCCATTGCTATACAACAGACTATTACACATGGCAACTATAAAACTAATATTCTACCAGATTTGGATCACTTGGACTTGTATTATTTCTCAGTATGACGAATTTCCCTAAAACAATTACGTAGTTCTGCTTTTTGTAACATTATTGCTTCAATGATGAGTCAGTCTAGGTAGATCATTAGATCTGATGGCAAATATTTACCAAATTCCATGGTTTTTAAGATGTGAATCACCCAATACAATGTTCCATTGTTGTTTGAAACGGTCATTTTCAATGGAAATGTTTACATTCCAACTTGTCTCAACATTCCTTTATCAGCCTGTGAGCATTCTATTGCATAGACTCCCATACAACAAGATATAGAAAAGTGTGAAAAACTAAAAAAGTGAATATTTTGGAGTGGCTATCATATTTGAATACCATCAAACATTTTTATGCTGGCCCATGGACTAATAGGTTGCTATTTGGGATGCATAGAAAGTTCTCTCTGGATTCTGAACTTGGGATTCAGTCGAGCACTGTAAACAGCATTATATTCTCTGAGTGTCAGACTAGTTGAAATATGTTACAGAGATGCATAGTTCAACTCTCCCAATGGGCCTAACTGACAGAACTGCTACTGTTCCCTTTTTGAAAACTGACCGCAAATCTCTCTCTCTCTCTCTCTCTCTCTCTCTCTATTACCCTCTATTTCTCCCTCCCTCCTTTATCTCTCTCTCTCTCTCTCTCTCTCTCTCTCTCTCTCTCTCTCTCTCTCTCTCTCTCTCTCTCTCTCTCTCACTCTCACTCTCACTCTCACTCTCACTCTCACTCTCTCCCTCTCTCTCTCTCCCAAGTCATCAATGCCGGTATGAGGAAGTTCTACCTCCAGGCCAATGATCAGCAGGATCTGGTAGAGTGGGTCAACGTGCTCAACAACGCCACCAAGATCACAGTGAGTGCCCTGCCCCATCACCTGTAGCACTTTGTCACAACCCATACAGTGCCACCTCCTGTAGTACAAGACTGTTTCCATCTCAACCCCTCTGGAAAGGATCTGTTATTCAGAATGAGGATGTGTTATCCCATTTCAGCTAGCGTGAGTAGAAGTTTATAGAATAAGAAGGGTGTGATGGAGGAGGATGACAAGACAGGGCATACCTCGCATGTGTCTACTGTCAAGTCAGCAGGGGAGAGAAATACATTATGAAACGCTCATTGCACACAGTGTTATGGTCTGCTGGGTCCAGGAGCCCATGTCTGTCTCCTAGAAGGCATCCAAACCCCTCTGGACAGGGGATCATTTCCCTTAGTGCATCACCGAGGGACAGAACAGCGAGAGTGGCTTACTCTGCTCCTCTCCCTCCCCTCTGACTAGCCGTCGCATACATAATAATAAGCATACATGCATGCACACATACACACATACACACAGACGCATGCAAGCAAACACAGGCAGGCACGTACACACACACACTTGCCTTGCACAAACACACGCACATAGGCACGCATGCACACACACACACACACACACACACACACACACACACACACACACACACACACACAGACCAGAGAAGGCAGGACAAAGGGGAATGCGAGTGTTGTGAGTCATGGACTGTCTCTACAGATTTGAGGGCTTCTGAAAATAACGCTCTCCCTTTGAAAAGGCAGTGCAGGGACAGAACAGAACTGTGTGCCTATGGATCAGCTTTCACAAAGATTCAGTGGAGAGGATGTTTCACTCCAATGCCTCTTCAACCACATCCATGTATGGGGAAGGGACTGGGCGTTGAGTATATTAACGTAATAATAAACTTTATAATAAATTCACGGTACGCATAGTTTGAAGAGACTTCAATACAGTGTTGTAGTCTTTATTGAGTTATATCCTGCTGCTGACAGACTAAAAAACAGTCTCACTGTTACACAACAAGGTCCCATACACAAACACACACACACTGTCGGGCATACAGGGGGCCCTACTACACACACACTCCATATATTGTGCCACACACTGCTATTAATAGACAGATGGCTGTCAATGTTTGACTGTGTATGTGTGCACTGGAGTGTGAGCCCTGGCCTTAGCAGGAGCACTAGTGGGGGGGGGATGCCTGCGGGCTACACACACACACACACACACACACACATCAATCAATGACCACAGTGTAGCAGTGGCTCTCTGAAGCCCCCAGGCTAGAGTTGATGGAAAATACACTAACAAGCAGGCAGGGAGTACATCATATCACTACAGAGACTGCAGAGGGACACATCTAACAAGGTATTCGAGCATGTTGTCCACTCTGCTGGTCCTGGACTCCTGGCTCCTGATGCACTCTGGGAGTTGATGTTTATTTAAAGTGGCGCAGTGGTCTAAGGCACTGTATCACAGCAGTGCTAGCTGTGCCACTAGAGATCCTGGTTCGAATCCAGGCTCTGTTGTAGCCGGCCGCGACCGGGAGACCCATGGGGCGGCACCCAGCGTCGTCCAGGGTATGGGAGGGAATGGCCGGCAGGGATGTAGCTGAGTTGGTAGAGCATGGCGTTTGCAACGCCAGGGTTGTGGGTTCGATTCCCACGGGGGGCCAGTATGATTTTTTTTAAAATAATGTATGCACTCACTAACTGTAAGTCGCTTCATGGGTATGACGCTACAAGCTTGGCACACCTGTATTTGGAGAGCTCTGGATAAGAGCGTCTGCTAAATGACTAAAATGTAAATGTAATATTCCAGGTGCCAAAGTCGGGGGATGGCCAGCCCAGTGCAGAGATGCCTCAGGAGGTGCTGGGTGCCATGAAGCAGATCTCCTATAAGACCGAGATCATAGGAGGGGTACCCATCATCACTGCCACACAGGTAAGGAAGGATCACCAGTCTGGCCCAGCAATTAACGAACCCTAACCTTGCCCACTCATATGAACATGAGTAGGGTTGCAAAAATTCAAGTAACTTTAATAAAATTATAATGTTTTCCAAAAGTCCCGGTTGGAATATTCCTGGAATCAAGAAGGAATAAGCAGGATATCCAGGATTCCTTCACCCAGGATTTCTGGAAAAAGTGGGACATTTCTGGAATTTTGGGAGAGTTACCGAAAATGTGCAATCCTAAACAGAAGGTCATCTGCTCAGTTGTGGCTTGGAACAGTTCAGTCAAATCTGTCAAGTGTGGTTTCGGACAGTTACAAGTAACTTGATTTCAGCCATGTTAACCAGGTAAATACAGTGCATTTGGAAAGTATTCAGACCCCTTGACTTTTTCCACATAGTGTTACGTTACAGCCTTATTCTAAAATGGATTACATTTTTCCCCCTCATCAATCTACACACAATACCCCATAATGACAAAGCAAAAACAGGTTGTTATACATTTTTGCAAATGTATAAAAAAAACAGAAATATTACATTTACATAAGTATTCAGACCCTTTCATCAGTACTATGTTGAAGCACCTTTGGCAGCGATTACAGCCTCGAGTCTTCTTGGGTATGACGTTACAAGCTTGGCACACCTGTATTTGGAGAGTTTCTCCCAATCTTCTCTGCAGATCCTCTCAAGTTCTATCAGGTTGGATAGGAAGCGTCGCTGCACAGCTATTTTCAGGTCTCTCCAGAGATGTTCGATCGGGTTCAAGTCCGGGCTCTGGCTGGGCCACTCAACGACATTCAGAGACTTGTCCCGAAGCCACTCCTGCGTTGTCTTGGCTGTGTGCTTAGGTTCGTTGTCCTGTTGGAAGGTCAACCTTCGCCCCAGTCTGAGGTCCTGAGCGCTCTGGAGCAGGTTTTCATCAAGGATCTCTCTGTACTTTGCTCCGTTCTTCTTTCCCTCGATCCTGGGAAAAGAAGTCCCTGCCGCTGAAAAACATCCCCACAGCATGATGCTGCCACCACCATGCTTCACCGTAGGGAAGGTATTGGCCAGGTTATGAGCTGTGCCTGGTTTTCTCCAGACGTGACGCTTGGCATTCAGGCCAAAGAGTTCAATCTTGGTTTTATCAGACCACAGAATCTTGTTTCTCATGGTCTGAAGAGTCCTTTAGGTGCCTTTTGGCAAACTCCAAGCGGGCTGTCATGTGCCTTTTACTGAGGAGTTGCTTCCGTCTGGCCACTCTACCATAAAGGCCTGATTGCTGGAGTGCTGCAGAGATGGTTTTCTTTCTAGAATGTTCTCCCATCTCCACAGAGGAACTCTGGAGCTCTATCAGAGTGACCATCGGGTTCTTGGTCACCTCCCTAATCAAGGCCTTTCTCCACCGATTGCTCAGTTTGGCCGTGCGGCCAGCTCTAGGAAGAGTCTTGGTGGTTCCAAACATCTTCTATTTAAGAATGATGGAGGCCACTGTGTTCTTGGGGACCTTCAATGCTGCCGAAATCTGTGCCTCGACACAATCCTGTCTCGGAGCTCTATGGACAATTCCTTCGACCTCATGGCTTGGTTTTTGCTCAGACATGCACTGTCAACTGTGGGACCTTATATAGGCAGGTGTGTGCCTTTCCAAATCATGTCCAATCAATTGAATGTACCACAGGTGGACGTAGTCAAGTTGTAGAAACATCTCAAGGATGATCAATGGAAACAGGATGCACCTGAGCACAATTTCGAGTCTCATAGCAAAGGGTCTGAATACTTATGTAAATAAGGTGTATATATTGGAAATTTGCAAACATTTCTAAAACCTTTTGTCACTTTGTCATTATGGGATATTGTGTGTAGATTGATGAGGATTTTTTAAATGTTTTAATCCATTTTAGAATAAGGCTGTAACGTAACAAAATGTGGAAAAGGTCAAGGGGTCTGAATACTTTCCGAATGCACTGTAAATAGATGGTCTGTCTGAAAGTGTCCATGGATCAGGCCATCTGCTAGCTAGACAGACAGTGACAGACATTTAATATAATGTTCCACTGACTGAGGTTTGTTTTCTGGTATGTATGAGCCATGAGCAGTTCAAGTCATATCCTGTCTTGTGCTGGTAGCTGGTGTGTAGCCAGTCAATAGTAGCTGAAAGTGAAAATTCACATCCAGATGCACAAGCTATGGTCTATGATGTCACTTCCTGTGTGGGTGGTGGCGGTGCATCGGGCCTCAAAAGTTGGCCTCAACTTCTGCTTGACACATGAAACAGGCAGTTAATTCTCTCATTATTGATTGCTGTTAACACACATCTCTAGTCACTGGAGATGTAGTGGGGGGCTTTTCCCACACACATCTGATTCTGTGTGTGTGTGTGTGTCTGTTTGTGTGTGTGTGTCTGTGTGTGTGTGTCTGTGCGTTGGCGTGCCTGATTGCTTGTGCATGTGCGTATTATCATTATTATTATATTAACTTTTATTTAGTCATGGGAAATGGTGCCCTGAGCTCCTTTTTTTTAAAAGGATACCCCCGCGCGTATGTTCATACTTCGTACACTTATGTGTGTGTGTCCTCCCTCTTCCCCTGTGGTGCAGGAGCAGGGCAACGGGGGGCAGAACGGAGCAGACAGGGGGAACCTGCGGAAGGCCCACAGCCAGCTGCCCTACCTCCTGGGGCGGGGGGCACAGGACCAGGCTCTCATCAAGGCTGGATACTGTGTCAAGCAGGGAGCTGTGGTAGGTAGACAGTAGAGGAGGACTCTCTCTCGGGGGAGGGGCGAGAGTGCTGTTGTAGCAGCCTACACTCAGACCATGGACGTATTCATAAAGGAATGCAGTGGAAAACATTTTGCACAGAAAATGAAAATGAGTGTTTCTTATTGGACAAGTCCAGGTAGTCGCTCCCTGTTTCTGTCCATTTTCCTCTGTGTGGTACCTAATGAATACACCACAGGCTCAGAGATATTCTCTGTCAGCTACAAGCATTTAATACTACCAGCGCTGTGTGTTTGTTGTTGTGTAGGATTATGATGAGTTAGAAAGCAGTGGGATTCTGACCAGATGTTTGGGACACAAAGCCAGGGTGCTGAGGGTGAATTATATCCCTCATTGTTGTCCTGCCGTTAACCTACTGTACCTTCTCTTATCTCCTATAAATAGACCATATTAACCACAGTAATCCAGCCATTCTAAAGCAAGCAGTGGTCCTATACAATATCAGAATAGCTATCAATTAGCCACATTCTTTGCAAGTCAATGGATTTGGAGGTGCTGGAAATGTTGCTAGCCAATTGTATATGGCTTTCAAATGTTTTCCTTTCTCTTCCGCAGATGAAAAACTGGAAGAGGAGATACTTCTTACTGGAGGAGAACGCGGTCAGCTACTTTAAGTCAGACCTGGTGAGTGGGATTCTCTCTCCTCTCCATCTCTGCGACTGTGAGCGAGGTGACACACTCTCCACATAAAATGTCCTTGAGCCGCCCACCCGCCTGCCCCAACACACACACACACACACACACACACACAATACAATACAAAGGAGCTGTGTGACCCCATTGGCCAGCAGTTCGTCTTTGTGTTGCACCTGTGTTTCACAGACCCCTAGAGCCCTGGACAGACAGACACACACACACACACACACACACACACACACACACACACACACACACACACACATCAGATAAGAGCTGACTCCAGGCCTGTGCATTGTTCACGGCTCCCAAAGCTCTTGGCACAGCTACTAATAAATAGGACTTCCAAATCGACAAGCCTGGTTTTGATTTCTCCTCTATGAGGGAAAGGTTAGATTCTTAGCATTCATATTCTGTGCTGTGGCTAAATGACTGCTAGATTGTTGATAGATCTGTTTGTCCCTCTCACGTTCTGCACCTCCTCTCTCATGATCTGAGAGGTAGAGAACAAGTTCAGACAAGAGGGACAAGTTGTCTGCCTCTTTTCCTCCGTTAGGAGTGGTTAGTGTGCTGCTGCAGTGGAATTAGCTTGTCTCCCATTGGCCCTAACACTGGGCCTGAGTGTGTACTCTCTGTCCAGACCACTTCATCTCTCCATCCTCTCCTACTAAAATGCCATTAATGCCTCTATCCCATTGCCAAAGACATGCAGAGATACGTCTCTTATAGAGATAATGATGGGGTTGAGCTATTGATTGTCCCTGGGCTTGCAACGTCAACATATCCAGACAAGCTCATTAACACACCCACACCTATTTTGATGCCCTACTGTAATCTCATAGTGTGTGTGTGGTTATAGGGGGACGGGGGTATTACCTTTGGGGATTGTTGTCTCAGCACGTTGTGAATTCCATTCCTGGTGCTCCACGTGTAGACAGAGTAGCATGTCCCAGCCTGTGTTCTTGTGTGTGTGGGTGCGTGCTTCGGCATTCGTGTTTGTGTGCTGCCTTGGCACTCTCTGCCAGAGTCTCTGGGGGCTTGCCCTGTGTAACACTACCCTCCACACTCCTGCTTAGTGGTTTAGCAAGATGGGAAAGAATTGCGTACAATTAAAGACTCGACCTGTGTCTCCGTCACAAGGCAATTATCTACCCCAGGATCAGACCCGGGCCCCCTTCTCCGCTGCCTTTTCCCCCTTTATTAGGCTTCACTCTGCAGCTTTGAGCTGTGTGTGTGTGGGTGAATGGATGGGTGGTTGGCAGCAGGTGGGCAGGGATCCTGTTATGTTCCTAATAATATAGCATAATGTCAATGAGAGCCTATTGTCAATAATCATATGCTTAATCCTAGAACCTTTAGCAGATGGGGAAAATGAGGCAAGTCCTCAGTTTAGTCCTACAGTGGATGCATTTTTGTCCCATAGCTTCATTCTAGGCCTGTGATAGCTGTTGTCCAGGGTGTTACGTGCAGCTTGCTGATGCTGAGCCTCTCTAAAAAGCAAGCGTGACGAAACGCCCTGGATCAGAGCTAGGCCTGTGAGTACTCCCCTCCTACCCTCTCAGCCTGTCCTCTCTATTCAAGGCACATCAGGAACTAGCTCTGGTGCTGTCACGTTACATTAGCCTTAGGCTTCACTTTGTGTTTTGTTTATGTCATGTTGCTTGTGTCGAATTAATTATATATTGTGATGGTGTAACATGTTCTGTGGCTATCTCCTCTTTTCTCTCACACTTTCTTTCTTTCTCTCTGTCTTTCTTTCTTTCGCTGTCTTTCTTTGTCTTTCTCTCTTTCTTTCTTTCTCTCTCTTTCTCTTAGGAGAGAGAGCCACTGCGTGTAATCCCGCTGAAAGAGGTTCACAAAGTTCAGGAGTGCAAGCAGAGGTCAGTGTCTTTTACTCTTTAGTCACTGAGCTAGACAGATTGGCTATTGACACTGGCAGACCAAGTGCCAAGGTGATAGGGCTGGGAGGGAGACGTGGGCTGTGTCCCAAATGGCACCCTATTCCCTATTTGGTGCACTGCTTTTGACCAGGGACAATATACACTATATAGGGAACAGCGTGCCATTTGGGACGCAGACATGGCTGACAACTGTAGCGTCCTCACAGATAAGAAAAGTAAATGTTGGATATGGACTCACAGAATTGGCTTACTGTCGTCATTCGATGGCGATGCACTCTCTTACATTCACACCCAGTGATTTACGTTACTGGATGTTTGAATATGAATGAAAGTGTTGTCATCTCTTTCCATCCAGTGACTTAATGCAGAGGGACAATCTATTTGAAGTGGTCACTAGCTCAAGGACCTTTTACATACAGGTGAGACAATTTCTTTCTCCAGATAATGTCTGAATATATTGACTGAATTCCCTTGAAGAGATACAGTAACTGTCCATTGCCATTGGCACACAGTAACCTATTCCTCTCTCTCTGTTTTCTTTGTGACCCCTCTTCCTTCCTCTGTAGTCGGACAGTCCAGAGGAGATGCACAGCTGGATCAAGGCCATCTCAGGAGCCATTGTGGCCCAGCGGGGGCCTGGACGCTCAGCTGCCTCTGTACGTATGCAGTTCCTGCATACTGGCTCTGTATGGGACCCACAGGGTGTCAAAACGTTCAACACTTTAGTTCCAGCCAAGTATTACATAACACACCTGGTTCAACTAACCAAGGGCTTGGTGGTTAGTTGGATCAGGTGTGTTTGTGCTGGGCTAGAATAAAAGCCTGCACGTTCTGTGTGTGCCCAGGAAGGGTATTGGAGATCTCTGCTCTGAGGGGGAGAAACTTTACTGTCTCTGCAGGAAACCATATTTTATCGAAATATCAAATCAAAATCAAATCAAATCAAATTTTATTGGCCACATGCGCCGAATACAACAGGTGCAGACATTACAGTGAAATGCTTACTTACAGCCCTTAACCAACAGTGCATTTATTTTTAATAAAAAAGTAGAATAAAACAACAAAAAAGTGTTGAGAAAAAAAGAGCAGAAGTAAAATAAAATAACAGTAGGGAGGCAATATATACAGGGGGGTACCGGTGCAGAGTCAATGTGCGGGGGCACCGGCTAGTTGAGGTAGTTGAAGTAATATGTACATGTGGGTAGAGTGACTATGCATAAATAATTAACAGAGTAGCAGCAGCGTAAAAAGATGGGGTGGGGGGGCAGTGCAAATAGTCTGGGTAGCCATGATTAGCTGTTCAGGAGTCTTGTGGCTTGGGGGTAGAAGCTGTTGAGAAGTCTTTTGGACCTAGACTTGGCACTCCGGTACCGCTTGCCGTGCGGTAGCAGAGAGAACAGTCTATGACTAGGGTGGCTGGAGTCTTTGACAATTTTGAGGGCCTTCCTCTGACACCGCCTGGTATAGAGGTCCTGGATGGCTAGAATGTCTCTAGTTTGTAGATAATCTGTTTCTGGCTGTTTGGAATTTAAACCATTCACCCACCCACCACCCCAGTTTAGAAACTGGACATCACAGTTGGATTTCTATACCTGTGTGCCACCGTGATTTTCATTTTTTTTGTTGGTTTCCATGTTCGTATATTTGCATTGACATACTGTAGGTGTAGCTTACACTACAGTACACAAGGCAGTATTCTATCTCTACTCAACCAGGTGATGCTGCGAGATACCCCACCTCAAACCGTAACCGACGGTCACCTTGGAACACACACACACGCACAGAATAGGAAACTCCACCGCCAAATCCAGCCACTCTCCTGTTCTCTCTCCTCCCTGCCTCTCTCCCTCTCTCGGCCTCCCCCGTTCTCTCTCTCCTAACGAAGCTGTGCATTACTGTGTTGTTGCAGATGCGTCAGGCCCGTCGGCTGTCGAACCCTTGTATACAGAGGTATACATTCCGCAATGGTGAATGCAGCACGTATGTGAGCCCCCGTGTCAGTCAAGCAGCTTCCTCTCTGTTTCGCCAAGTAGTAGTCCTAGGTTGCATCTGAAATGTCAGCATATTCCTTAAATTGTGCACTACTTTTGACCAGGGCCCATAGGGAGGCTCTGGTCAAAACCTATTTTCCCTATATAGTGTTCATTTCGACCAGGGGAGCTCTGGTCAAAAGACGTGCACTATATAGGGAATAGGGTGCCATTTCAGATGCAGCCCTAGTCTACTGTAGTGGAATGAAGCTTTGATGACTGCTTATTCCCCTCTGAAACACCCAAGCAAGCCCAGTTACTAACTAGATAATAGATAGACTTCCATCTCATGCTTGAGTGCTGATCATTAGCCCCGCCCCCCTTCTCCATCCTAACTGTTCTGGACAGACATCATCTAATCTGCCATTGATTGACCAGACTAACTCGACAAATCCACATGACCTCACTCCTCCTCCTTCCAGAGCTCAGTATTGACTGGTCTGTTCTTGACTAGGCTTCTTGGAAAACTCCCTCTGGCATCAGTGGTTTTCGATACCTTCTTCCTCAACCGATTTTAATGCATTTACAACACATTTTGTGATCTCCAGGTCCGTTTTTGGCAGTTTTTTCACAATTCTGGTTGTGAACTGAGTTCCCGTTCCTTTATACAGACAATGAAAAAATGAAAAGGGCCATCTATCTGGCCTCCATGTGCAAGCAAATATTCCACATAGAACCCACTTGCGTCACTGGGTTCCAATGTAGCGTGGGAAGCTGTAGTACAGGAACCTGTAGCTGCTATCTAGGCCTAAGGCTGGTGGTGCATGTTCCCCCACCTCTCCTAGAAACACACACAGCAATCCTCAAGGTTGACCATTACAGTATATCTTCATTCATTCTTTCATTCATTCATTGGCTTCAACATCTTACACTTACCAACTTTGAGACTTTTTAACATTTCCACATTTCTTTTAGTCTCTAGTTACCCATTTGGTTTGGGGAAAGTATGTCTAGTAGTTTGAAGCCTTTCATGCTCTCTAATGACCCAGTAATACTGTGATTCTTGTCAACATGTCCTCATGCACCCCACCCCTTCAACACACACTTACGTTCTCAGAGTTCTACCCATTTATTCTGATTTCTTTTCATTCCTTATTTTCTCGAATCTCACCCTGTGTCACTTTTTCCACTTTTTCACTCCCTTGCTGGAACTCGCCATTCCTCAACAGGTTTTTAGCTCGCTGTAACTGGTCATCTTTTCGCTAACATTTGGCCGTCTGTTTTCTTTGTTTTGTCTTTTGTCCCTGTCGTGTTTTTCAGAGAGTCAAATGTGACAGTGAGGTACTAACATTCCCCAAGTGAGCTCTACTGTACATCCACTGTCTACTGTACCACCACTGTGTGTGCTGCCATCCTCCTCCTTCAACTACATCTGCTGCCTTAGTCTGCCGCTGCTTATCTCCTGCTTCCTCCACTACTCCTCTTTGCACCAGCACCACTATAGATACTACTACTGCTTCTACTACTGCTGCTGCTGTCCTACCTCCCTTTGCCACCCTTTGTCACTGCCCCTGCTACAGCACTGTGACTGACCTGACTGACTCCCCTGCATCCAGTGCTTCTGAATCTGAATGACTTTGTCCCCCTCCTACCTCCGTTCCCTCCCGTACACTCTGCAGGAGCACAGCGACCACTCCACCACCAACACCCCCTCCGCCTTCTACTGTAGCAGCAACCAGGGGGGACCCCCTCTCCCTCGCTCGCCCATCCAGGCAGAGCTCCCCTACCCCCAGCCCCAGAGGGTCCCGGGCCCGGGCCCTGACCTGGAACAGCCAGGACTTCATGGGCCTGCTGCCCTGGCGAGGCCACCAGGGGGCACCACCACGGCACCGCTCCCGCCTCTCTCTCCAGGAGACCCCTCGTCTGTCCAAGTGAGTGCCTCGTCCCATTACCACACCAAAGCCCACCAGGAGGACCTGTCGCCATGGAGACGGCGCAGCAAGGTAGAGGGCGACCAACCGGAACTCTCCTCCCTCAGCTTCGAGGACTCAGACCTGCATGTCAGCCTGGTGTGAGCCTCTAACCCTGACCCCTCCGGTCTGGATTCACACTGACAGAAAGGGGACTGGACACAGTGGACAGTCATCAACAACGACAAGAGGAAAGCCAATCAAACGTGACCAAAATGGAGCTGAACCAATCAGAGCCAACCTGGCCCTCAGGAAGACAGGAAGTGGTCCCTGGCTGTGACCGTTGATCGTCTACTCTCCCCTGTTTCCAGACCCTCTCTTAACACAGCAAATGGCGTGACTTTTCAGGGCAAGGAGATGTCGTCAGATTCTGTTTTATTTCAGTCTTTTTCATTATTGATATTTCTGTTGGGTGTTGCTCTTTCTTTCTTGTTGTTGGTATTGTATGGTATGATTCCTGAACATCCTCCCCTGTCCATTGGCTCAAGAGGTTACAAGAGGTGGACTGGGTTGGCTACTCTGCTGAGAAACTCACTAATCATGTTTGTCATTCTGTCCCACACCACTTCCTCCTCCCCGAAGTCACTTGATTTACTGTTATCAGGGTTGTTGGGACTACTATAAAAAAGGGGCTAGATGTTATTTGTATTCATAGTTATGTAAATGAAAAAGGTTTAACTGTTGACAATGAGACAACCCCACTCATACATAAAAACATAAACGTGAGGTTTAGATTTGTATGTACTTTTAAGATGTGAAATATATTTGCTTTTAAGCTGACCGTTTAGTTTCTATCCAAAGCATGCTGTTGTTGAAGCACATAATGAAATATGGAACCAAATCCTAAAGATAACTTATCAGATGAAAATCCCTGCAGCTTTCTTATTTTCAGTTACGTTTTAGAGAGAAAGTGGGTGTTATGTGTTATATTTCTGTTTTTAGTCATCATTCAGATACATATGCTTTGAGTCCTTCTGTTCATATGAGAGTTACAACTGTTGTGTTTTAGACTCTCTCTCTCGCTCTCATCAGTCACACACACACTGTCACACCTCTGTGTTTTGCCAAATGAAGTTCTGCACTGTATTGTATGTGCCTGCCAATGTTAGCATGCATTTGTATAGAGACTTCTCCCTCAGGAGGACATATACAGTACAACACATCTATACGCCTCTGGGCAGGGCCTTTCAATTGGCACTTTGTGGACTGTGGGCAGATAAGCTGCCCACTGCCCTTGATCTGTTTTATGGGTGTTCCTTCGTGGTCCTCTTCTCTTTTCTACTGTACGACTATTTTACTACTTTTCCATATGCTGTGACAGTTTGTGTGTCTGTGGGGAGGCATACTGTGCTTCTCAGCTGTACCGTTCCTGTAACTTGTTACTGTGTTGCACACCTCTTACTGTATAGCTGGTAAAGTGCCTGCATTCTCTCTATAGAGAAAAAAAAACAAGAAGCTATTTTGACCCTTTTAATTGTGTACCTGATGTTCTGAATCATGTGCATTATTTATTAAGTGGAGTTTGAAAATACATCAATGGATTCAAGTTGGAGTGACTTTGCTTCTTATTTGTGTTGACTCAAGTCATTTAAATAATATATTTTTTGTTGGATGCAGTCAAAACAGAAAATTGACACCATCTAGTGCTGAAGGAAAGAACTACAAGTCCTTGTTTTGCTCATATGTTTTTATTCCCTACAATGTCTGCTATGTTCACTTCTTCTGTAACCCCACCTTTTCCAGCATGTTATTGTAGATTGCATTTAGAGGTGTAACCAATTTTTATAGTGTTAAAAGTTGACACATCAAGGCCTGGTAAGACCATAGGAAATGACTTGGCAAAGCAGGTCTCTACTGCCTTCTGTTGGCCTTGCTTATTGGCATCTATGGCCAACTGAGATAGTTACTGTGAATTGGAAATATTTGTATTATTAATACATCTAAATATGTAGTAAATATCTCTCATTCATCTCAATTTGGTCTTCTGAACAAAGGTGAATTCCATCAGTCTGAATGATCAGGGCCACATCATACCCCTAAGGTTGCGTCCTATTTCCTGTGTAGTGCACCAGAGCCCATAGGGATATACATCCAATAAAAACACTCAGAAATAACAAACTGCTTAAACATATTGGAACAGGTCTCAGAGTTTGGATGTTACTGGCAGGGATTGAGTGTGGCCAAAGCTTGTTGTTGTAGCAAATTGCATTGAGGACTTAACAATAGGAATCCCTCTCCATTCCCGAGTTCAGGTTTGAGTAACTCTGACTTTGATTCAAATGGACATTCGTAGTTCTTCATTAGAAGTGTGAGTTCACATGTAATGGGCTCGTATTGAGAAGGATGTGCTTGCCAGATAGTGTAACTCTAAAGAATACAAACAGGAGACCCACTGGGCACAGACATCAATTCAACGTCTATTCCACATTGGTTCAACGTAATTTCATTGAAGTGACGTGGAAACAACGTTGATTCAACCAGTGTGTGCCCAGGGGGGAGCAATCACTGGGAAATCTCCTATCTATATTGATGACTGCAGTGAGTGAAGTTGAACACACATCTCCTCTGATGCCACTAATGTCAGTTAAAATAAACAGTGGTGGCGGCTTGCACTTCAGCATAATCATGAATCTTCAAGCTGGCCTCTGCTCTCATCATGAAGAGCCCCCTAGCTGTTATCTGTAGTTACATAACAAGCCCAGAGTTGTTCTTGGTCACGACCTAGTCATGCAGGTTGGACACCACAGTGTAATGATGCTGTGAAGGCAACAGGTCTCTAGCCACTGATCCCAGGCCTGTCCTGCTGGCCCTTGGCTGTCAGGTCTAGTTATACGCATCAGGTTCGTTCTGATCCTAGGCCTTTTCTAAATATTTAGGGCTAGTTGTACGAATCAGGTCCGTCCTGTCAAACCCAGGGCCCGTGGCGGCGAGTGATGATGTCAGCAATGATGACATGGCACCTAACAGAGGCCTCTGAGTGAGTCAAGGACAACATAAACAGCTGGATGAGCTCTGTAACCACAACAACGGGGGTAAACAGAGCCTGACCTGCATGGTCCGCCCCAGTGCCTGTCAATGGCCGGGTCCAGCTCATTATTTTCCTGGGGTGCTGAGGATTTCTCCACACTCGTCCCTGTGTGCTTAATGGAGATCACTCACAATGAGAGAGTGGTTGGAGCCTAACATCTGCACTGCCAGAGAACACAGCAAGCCTCCCTTCCCTCCTTCCCTCCCTCCCTCCCTCGATTCATCGCAGTGTGTGTGTGTTTGTGTGTGTGCGTGTGTGTGTGTGTGATGGTGTCACTGACACACCCACTTTAGTGTTGCTTAAGAGATGCTTGATTCCAGCTGTTACAATGTGATGGAGCAAAAGTGTATCTGAATGTTAGATATACTGCTACATCTTTTGCAGAAATATACACATTTGACTGGTTCTGAGAAACTCCAAACATTACAGTACATGTGACATACTATGGCCAATACGTTTCCTGCTTAACTAATCACTGCTTTGCATGCTTCGCTTCCAGTGTCTTCTTCCATATCTCCTATGATGTTGTCAGACACAGCTGGTGAGCAAGATTACCAATCACATGATTTAAGTTAGGATAAACAAAACAGCCCAAGGCACCCACTACCAAAATAATGTACAAAACAAAACAGAGTAGTTAAATTGACCTGGAATGGTAAGCTCTCCACTCTGTCATTGCATTACTGTAATTCACTTAATTTCCCCCACGTGTATTGTTTATTTCCTGTTAAGCACTCCCAGATTAAATGAAAGTGAACAATAAATGTTACAAGAGATGATGTAAGTTTGACATCAATTTCACTTCGGCTCATGTTTTCGAACCAACCGTCTACTTTAAACTCCAACACAGACCTATAAACTTCCAACTGCACTGCTGAAGCACCGCTGCTGCACAACTAAGGTCTCCTTGTGCAACTTTACAGTCCCTTAATACATTAGAAAGAGCTACACTTGCTTCGTTAGCACTTGGTAGACGCTTCTAAGCTTCTTAATCAATTTAATGGACCATGCAGCAACACTTCAGCATCTAATAAGATAAATGGTAGTGCTCAGCTGGATCTTTTCCCCACCAGTACGGTTTAGGATAGAGGACAATGTGTTCCCACAGAAAGATGGCTCTCTACAGCCAGCTCTGGTTAACCAACAACCCCAAGCATTGCCAAAATATTTTGGGGACAGGACAATGAGGATTGGGAGTCTTGTGGTGGGATTTCTATCAAGTAAAGAACATTGTCTCTTGTGGCTAATGTGGCTTCCTTTACCTTCCAGCACCAAATAAAATAAAATAAAATAAAATGTTATTTGTCACATGCGCCGAATACAACAGGTGTAGTGTCACGCCCTGACTCAGGGGACTCTTATATGTTGAGTCAGGGTGTGTATTTTCCTTGTTGTGCTTTTTCAATGTGTGGGATCTAGTATGTATAGTTCTATGTTGGCCGGTGTGGTTCCCAATCAGAGGCAGCTGTCGCTCGTTGTCTCTGATTGGGGACCATACTTAGGCAGCCTATTGGCACTGTGTAGTTGTGGGATCTTGTTAAGGTTTGTGTCTACCTTAGGACTTCACGTTTCGTTTCGTTTATTGTTTTGTTGTGTGTTTATTTAGTTTAATAAACATGTACGTATATCACGCTGCGCCTTGGTCTGACCCGTCATTCAACGAACGTGACATGTAGACCTTATCGTGAAATGCTTACTTACAAGCCCTTAACCAACAATGCAGTTCAAGAAATAGAGTTAAGAAAATATTTAGTAAATAAACTAAAGTAAAAAATTAATAAAAACGACAAGTAACACAAGGAAATGACATAACAATAACAAGGCTATATACAGGGGGTACCAGTACCGAGTCAATGTGCGGGGGTACAGGTTAGTCGAGGTAATTTGTAAAGTGACTATGCATAGATAATAACCAGAGAGGGGGGGTCAATTTAAATAGTCCGGGTGGCCATTTTATTAATTGTTCAGTCATTTTACAGCTTGGGGGTAGAAACTGTTAAGGAGCCTTTTGGACCTAGACTTGGCTCTCCGGTACCGCTTGCCATGCGGTAGCAGAGAGAACAGTCTATGACTCGGGTGACTGGAGTCTTTGACAATTTTTGGGGCCTTCCGCCTAGTATATAGGTCCTGGATGGCAGGAAGCTTGGCCCCAGTGATGTATTGGGCTTTATGCACTACCCTCTGTAGTGCCTTGCGGTCGGAGGCCGAGCAGTTGCCATACCAGGTGGTGATGCAACCAGTCAGGATGCTCTCCATGGTGCAGCTGTATAACTTTTTGAGGATCTGGGGATCCATGCCAAATCTTTTCAGTCTCCTGAGGGGGAAAAGGTGTTGTGCCCTCTTCACAACTGTCTTGGTGTGTTTGGACTATGATAGTTTGTTGGTGATGTGGACACCAAGGAACTTGAAACTCTCGACCCGCTCCACTTCAGCCCCGTCGATGTTAATGGGGGCCTGTTTGGCCCTCCCTTTCCTATAGTCCACGATCAGCTCCTTTGTCTTGCTCACATTGAGGGAAAGGTTGTTGTCCTGGCACCACACTGCCAGGTCTCTGACCTCCTCCCTATAGGCTGTCTCATCGTTGTCTGTGATTAGGCCTACCACTGCTGTGTCGTCAGCAAACTTAATGTTGGTGTTGGAGTCGTCAATGAACAGTATTCTCACATAGGTGTAATTTTTGTCCAGGAGGGAAAGGGCAGTGTGGAGTGCGATTGGGAATGCATCATCTGTGGATCAGTTGGGGCGGTATGCGAATTGGAGTGGGTCTAGGGTTTCCGGCATGATGGTGTTGATGTGAGCCATGACCAGCCTTTCAAAGCACTTCATGGCTACCGACGTGAGTGCTACAGGGCGGTAATCATTTAGGCAGGTTACCTTTGCTTTCTTGGGCACAGGGACTATGGTGGTCTGTTTGAAACATGTAGGTTTTACCGACTCGGTCAGGGAGAGGTTGAAAATGTCAGTGAAGACACTTGCCAGTTGGTCCGCGCATGCTTTGAGTAATCCGTCTGGCCCCACGGCTTTGTGAATGTTGACCTGTTTGAAGGTCTTGCTCACATCGGCTAGGGAGAGTGTGATCACACAGCTGGTGCTCTCATGCATGCTTCAGTGTTGCTTGCCTCAAAGCGGGAAGAATAGACATTTTGCTCATCTGTTAGGCTCGCATCACTGGGCAGCTCGTGGCTGGGTTTCCCTTTGTAGTCCATAATTGTTTTCAAGCCTTGCCACATCTGACGAGCGTCAGAGCTGGTGTAGTACGATTCAATCTTAGTCCTGTATTGACGCTTTGCCTGTTTGATGGTTTGTCTGCGGGCATAGCGGGATT